TGTTCCTGAATAAATTATTCTGGAATGTATGTTGCTGTGTGTTTGTTGCCTGTTTGTATTTGACTGGTCAGCTGAGTAGAGCAAATTGCATACTACTGCACAATGAAAACAAATGCACACACACACACACACACACACACACACACACACACACAAAGCATTTTCCCAGGCCTCTCACACAATTGAACAAGCACTTACTAGATTTTCTTTAAGATTTAAAGAAAAACCACCCAGCACATACTTAGATTTGTTCTAGTCCAACAGCAAGTCACAGCTAGAGTAGGCCCATAAAAATCAACAGAACTTACAGGAGAGTTGACTCATCAGGTCACCTCTGATGTAATGGGCCTAATCTAGTTGTGAGTTACCACTCGATTTCAACCAATATCTATTTTTTCCTTGTCTGATGACTTCTTTTTGCCGTATTTTAAGTCCTTGCCCCTCATCATTGTGTGGTTTTTCCTTCCCACGCTATTCGCTCCCTCACAGAAACCACAGAAAGTTGTCTAGCAAATGGCTTTACTCCCCACATACACATATTTTAACTGATCTCTACGATAAGAAAGCATTAATTTCTGTAAATTTTGTACATTATAAACACCAGAAAAATACTAGAGACGATGAAAACGAATGCCACCTGCACATACGGACGTGCAATTCATGCAGAACTGACCATCAGAATTTTTGTATTGAGTAGCTCGTTTCAGCATTCCGGCAACAAAGAGCGATGACAAAAGAACAGACGGAAGCACTGTTTGATTTGTTCATGGCTGCTGGAATGCCAAACAATACAATATATAATCGCCAGGATGTTAACCAGTACAACATACAATACTGTAACGCAAAGTATAACATCTGAGCACAAGCGAGGTGCCTTTAGTACATCAGTTCTTGTGATGAGATGAGATTTGTGATTAAAATCTTGTAAGAAACATGGGTTTTGTAATTAAGAAATGTGCAAGAGAGGTTCCATCTTGTTTCTCTGTATAAAGGATCCTTGCTATGCTGACAGGGTGTTGCTAGTGAGAGCTCAGAGAATGCTATTCTAAGAGCATGAGAAAGAACTTTGTGATAAGATAGATGGGTATTGTTGTGACTCTTTGCAAAACCACAGAAACCCAAATAACATCTGTTACCTATGAGAGAGAAAGTCATGTGGTACAACCGGATTGTTTGCCTAGCAACGGACTGTGATTGGATGACATCGTGGGAAGGAGCAGATAAGGACTCACCAGTTACTCTTGAAAAAGGAACTTTTACCTATGGACAATGTCATTCGTGACTCCCTCTAATGTCTTTCAGGACCTATTCCTAGGTCACCTATGGCCTACACACATGGATTGCTAATATACGCATTCAGGGAATATTTTTGACTCGTTTCATGGACTATTCTTATGGACTACTCCTATGAACTATTCTTATAGATTATTCTCAGGACAATGGGACATTTGCTTTTACAGAATTTTTCCTTTTGTACAGTATTTTCATTTACAGGATTAATGAGGACTATGGATTTTTTCTTACATAATTGGATTATTTTGTTTTCCTGATGGATTACCTTATTGGAACTGTTTTTATTCATTTTATTGGCTTTTTGAATTCTTTTACTGTTTTTGGACACTTGCATGTTTTTCATGTTTTCTTTGCCTCACTACAGCTTTGTAATTAACTAGCATAATGTTCATTTGTTTGCTTTTGCATAATTTGACTTTTTCTTTAAGGAACTTACTTTTTCTTTAATAAAATAATGATTATAAAAATCAATTGGTTTCCTGAACAGTAAACTTGTCATAGGTCATCTGATGGTGCTTGCCTTGGCCTAGCATACTTAAGGAGTCCTGCCTGTGGTACGTGATAAGCCTAAGGACTACAAAGCCCACATGGTTTTCTAACAGTAATATCTGAAGGTACAAGGGTGTTCATATTAGAGCAGACTTGTAAGATGGAGAGTTGTATATGTCTAGCTGAGTTCTGGGACTCACTCAGCACATTTTAGCGTGTCCAATCTCCTGATTACTTTCTGTCCGAGCATTCACGCATTCTCCAGGGGACCGTGTTTGTCACAGTTCTCACACTCAGAATATTAATCACCACGACACTGGATGGAACATGAAAGTACAGGCACCTTTTAAAATGATAATTTTGCTCTGCAAACAAGTAAGACGGGGAAAGGGTAATATTGTACTGTGCTATTCATTCCATAAAGCCTTCCAGTCTGAGTTTTGTCAAGACTGATGACTGAAGCCTTCCATGCTGCTGATAGTTTTTTAGGGATGGGGAAACTACAGTCACAACCCAGTCTGAGTTTTGTCAAGACTGATGACTCAAAAACAAGAGGCAGAAACGGGCACACAAGAAGCACTAAATGTGGAATTTAGGAAAACAAATCTACCATACACATTTTGAAACATATTTCCTCCAAATTGATAAGAGAGCAACTTCTCAACAACCTCAACAAGAAAGAAGCTGGCTGTTGGCCAATGCAGCTGAGGTGTGGGGACCACACTCCTTTCATACAATGTTCGAGAAGAGAAGCTACACTCACCACTGTCCGGAAAGGTAAACTAATAGCAGGTCTGGAAAGGTAAACTAATAGCAGGTTGCTTTGTGATGAATACAACCTGACAGCCACATCACTGATGAAACCATTGCTTGAATTATGCACAACTACAATTTACAACCTCATATTAGTCACTGCCATGGATAAGGCAATGGGCTAGAACCCAGAAGACTTGGATTCCAATCCCCACTCCACCAAGTCACTGGGGTTGGCTATAGTAAACCACTCCTACAATATTTCACATACTTTGAAAACTCTATTGGGGTCAATGTAAGTCAGACATGATTTGACAGCACATATCAGGAACAAATGCTGATAACAATAATACCAAAATGGGGGGGAAGGACCCTTTCTGTAGGGTTATTTAAAATAACACACACCTTTGGCACTTCTATAGGACCTTTTAAGCACGACACAGGTTAGACCTCAGTATGCCTCAATCACCTGGGTAGAAACACCGTTAGACAACAGTGTAAGTGTGTGCCTACTGTTCAGTGAAAAATTACTTGGGAGCAAGCCCCATTTGATCATCTTAAAGTTGGGGTATCAGATGGGACCCAAAATGTGAGTAGGGCTGAAGAAAGCCGGTGGAATATATTACTTCTTCAGCACTGGTAGAGCAAAGAAACAAAAGGCTTCTTTTTATTCTATCACATTTATTGGAAGGGAAAATTACCCAGCAGTGAGGCAATATCAGCTTAAGCACACTCCTTCCCCAATCCATAACAACAAAAGCAGTAGCATTTGACTCACAAATTCTAGACAACTTAAATAGCCTTTTCTCACTGCAGTCACTAGAACACATTTTCTTCTTCTGCAGTTAGAAAGTGCTGGGAAAAGAGAGCTAGAGCTTCACGTTGATCAAAGCTAGCTGCACCTGCTGTCAGAAGACCATCCAGATCAGCAGTTCCTAAACTCGTAAGCATTACGTTCCCTTTTAGAGAAAATCACTTTTAACCAAAAGAAAAGTATTAAAACTCAATTTGTAGTTTGCAATTAAAAATAAAAGCAAAAACTCAGTAAAAAGATTATTTTAAATAATGGCTAGAAATAGACATGCTTCCATCAGAAGTCAATAAAAATATAATCATGTTAAGACATAGGAGAAAGAAAATAAAATTGAAATGATTTTTTTCTTAGCATTAAAAATTAATTAAAAGTTCAGTATGTAAAGGACTGGTAGAAACAAAACAAATTCAAAATTTAAAAAGTTGTTATTGTGGTGTATTTAATCCGCTTGTATTTGTATGCAGTTCAGTGTGGTGCAGTGGCCAGAGTGACTGACTACAGATATTGAGAGCTGAGTTTGAATCCCTACTTAGTCTTGGAAACTATGGGAGGGGTGACAATAGTGAAACTACTCCTTAAATATTGCACATATCTTAAAAACCCAATTTTGATTGCTGTGTGTTGGGTGTGACTTGATGTGGACAGCAAACTAATGCTTGTATCATCATGTTGAAACTGCTGTGATGATTAATGAATCTCTTGCTTTTCCATTGGACTTTTTTAGCTACATGGAGAGGGGGGATTTGCTGCTTGGGTAACAGTCTATCCTCCATATTATTTTACCCAGGCTTCGTGCTCTGGAGAGGACACTCCAGCTTCGCATACAGCGTCGAAGTCCTCCTTACAGAGCACACTACCATAGTCTCTCAAGACTGAAGGATGCCTAACACAATTCATGAAATGGGTATTAGCTGAAACTCAATGTGGTCAGATGTGAAGGTGGCATATAACATTATCAAATCCTCCCTGATATTAAAAATTCCCTAAAAATAATTTTAAAAATCATGGCAACAAACAAAGATCCAAAGTAGACTCTTATCCCCTAATTGCATGTTGGCACAAAGCCTTTGCGATGAAGAGAATTCAAAGAGGTTTCCTCCACATGACATCTGGAGTTCTGCCTACCTCATGCCTAGGCCAAGCTTCACCTGTCTTCCACTCTCAGGCATCCCCACTACTTTTGACTAGCTAGCACAGGATACGGGAGGCAATTTCCCTTTAAACAGCTTCCTTTCTGTAACAAATTGTGCAAAGCAGCAGCAAAACATAAACTGCTTTCTTCAAATGCAGTCAATGGCTTCTTTAACACAAAGAAACAGGGCTTCGTGTTGTGGAAATGGAGTGTGAGGCGATCAAAGTCTTAAGGTATGTGTGTATGTGTGTGTGAGAGAGAGAATGCAGCTGTCTTCATTACAGCATCATATGGCAGCTGAAGCAAACTCTCTCCACCCACTCTAGGTACTGGTAGAAGTGTGGATACAGTATTTCCTGCAACTTAAATTAGCAGCAGTGCTACGTATTAGCAGCAGTGCTATGTATTACGCACCCAGCTGCAGAGCACAGTTCTCCTGGCTTCCTATATCCTCCCTTGTACCAACTCGAGTCAAGTCAGAGGACGTGGTCTCCTCAGTAAACCCACCAACCCACCCAAAAAAAGAAACCAAGCAACCAACGTCACTTTATATTTCTATAAGCAAAAGCCTTGTTTCTGGTCTCACTGTTCATTTGTTTTGATTACAAGAAAATACATTAGTTGTTTTTGTCTAAACAACAACGCTCCCCTAGTGCTGCACCGACCATGGCTTGTAGCCTGAAGAATTTCATCCATTCCTTAGATCTGAAATCTCTTCCCAGGATTCTCCAAATCCAGTCTGGCTATTATGATGAAGGTGAGTTTTAATCTTAAACCATCTAAAAGAGCATAGTCTTGACAATGCCTTTCAGCTTTGTCTGTGGAAAAAGGCGTAACAAGTAGGAGCCGAACGTTGCAGGGATGGCATCCTTTAATATTAGCAGAACATAATGGGGGAATATATGAAAACAATGTGTCTGATATTCCAGTGGTTCTCACATGGCTGAACCCCTCACAAAGAGTCAGAGGGCATGGCTGATAAGACCCTGAGGTACTGCGCAAGTGTTATGTCTCCATTGAGCCATGAGGGATGGGGTTGGGAAAATTATAAGGCCTCATAACAGTGTGCTGAGCATGTATGAGGAAAAGGGAAGCAGTGTTTGTAGTGGAATCACAGACTTCTTCACTTTCTAAGTGCCACTTAAATTACACCAGAGGGGATGAGTATTGTAAGATCTCTAACTATTTGTGTGTGTGTGTGTGTGTGTGTGTGTTGTACTGCATCCCAGAAGAATGTACTAAAATTCATAGCAGTCAGATACCATTTAGTTATATAATGCAAAGTGGTTGCATTATATAACTAAACAATACTGTGCAGACCTTCCGATTCCATAATTTGGTATCTTGTATCTTTTTCTTGTGACCCTTCAGATGGTTACAAGAAAAATATGAATCTGGTTTCTTTTGGAGTTCTTGAGGAGGGCTAGAAGGGTAAATGCTTTTTATATTTATGCTTTTTTCTTTCCCAATTTGTTTGTTTCATTTTCAAGTTTTGTCTTTTATCGTAGTCTGTATCAATTTACAGAAACTTTCTATGAACGTAGATAACAATGACAAAATTGCCAGCACTTAAGCTATGAAGACAACACTATATAAATGTGTAAATGAGAGTGAGTGTAATGCAAGACATTTTTCTTACATATAACGAGCAAAACATTAGCTAACAACATATTTTAAGGAAATCTATCCAATTCTAGATAAAGCAGAAGGAACCAAGGGAAAAGAAAAGACTGAGTATAAAGATATGTCACTAGAGATCACGGCCAACATAATCCATGCTGTACACTAATTCCCCATTACTTTTTACGCAGATGAGATGAGACCTAGACAGTCAAGATAGCTGACAGGAAAAAAAATCATTTGCAATATGATATTGGAAGGAGTTTTATGATCATGCAGACTTCCAGAAGGATAAATGAATAGGTGTTAAATGAAATGAAGCCTGAATTCTTACTAGAAAGTAAAGCTGGCATGCTTTTGACATATTAAGAGAAGACAAGACTCGATGGAAAAGACATTGCTAGGAAGGCAATAGGAGAAGAGAAAGACTTAATCAACTGACTGAATAAACTAACCTTAGCCTTTTGTTTGCAATATTCAGACAGGGCTTTTAATGATAGCATCTTTTAGAAGCTGTTCATTCACACACTTGCCTTTTGTTGAAAATTAAAGTAAAGGTGAAGAGTTGGACATTTTTAGTCCAGTCGTGTCCAACTCTTTGGGGGGGGGCGGTGCTCATCCCGTTTTCAAGCCATAGAGCCAGCACTTGGCCAAAGACAGTTTCCGTTGCCACGTGGCCAGCGTGACTAGGGAACGTTGTTTTACCTTCCCACTAAGATGGTACCTATTTATCTACTCGCATTTGCATGCTTTCGAACTGCTAGGTTGGCGAGGAGCTGGGACAAAGTGACAGGAGCTCACTCTGTTGTGTGGATTTGATCTTACAATTGCTGGTCTTCTGACCCTGCAGCACAGGCTTGTGCGGTTTAGCCCACAGTGCCACCACGTCCCTATATTGTTGGAAATTACTTGATGTTAAATAATATCTGAAGCAATGCGTGTATGAAATAGGCTTTCTTATGAGCACCACCACTAAATGGGGAATCCAGTTCTTAGAGCTGGGTCTTTGCATTTAGTACATGGAATGAAGTGTGTCTTCCTAAAAAGAATGGTTGATGCCATCAGCTTTTGTAGCACTGATTACGGGTTTGCAAGGCATGTCCCATAATAGTTTGGATCAATCTTCCCTCACCTCATGGTTACAGAAAAGGGATGTGTGTGTGTGTATGTGTGTGAGTGAGTGAGTGAGAGAGAAATTGCTAGTAAGTCATACATGGGGGGGAGCCCTGCCCATCCAGCTGAAAATTACAGAGAACATAACACAGAGGTAGGCAACTGTGGCCCCAACAGATTTTTCTGGAATACCATTCCAGTAACCCTTCACCACTGACTATGTTGCTAGAAATGTCTGGGGGGAAAAAAAATCTATATTTTAACTATCTGTCTAGTTGCCTTAGCTAGTATGGCTTCCTAGCAAACCCACTAGCCAAAGAGGAGGGGGAAGCTCATTAAAGAAAAGCATGTTATTTGTCCATTGATTTTACAAAGATTAGCATACAAGATTGAATTTACCTTCTTTATGTTGCAAAAATTATGCTGTTCAAAACTACCAATTTAATTATTTTATGTGCTTCTAAATTTAATTTCCTGCTGCCTTAATTTAACCAGTGGCAGAGAAGTTAAAAATGTCATCTTTCTCTTGAAAAATGTAGAATTTCCCAGAACCATTTATTGAAATTAATAAGTGCTTGAAGAATGCACAAGCAGGTTTAGAAAAGGGACAGGGTTTGCTTTCTGTACACAGAGAATGACATTCTCAATTTTGGATCTTTCAGGTGGTTAGTGTAGGGTTTTTGCTTATAGACCTACAAATGCCATAAGCAAAAGCAACAATCTGATGACTTCTTCAAACTTTCACATGGACATATGTCAATTTATAATTTAAGTCAAAGTAATCCAGCATATGAATTGATAATACAACGGCCACATTAGTTATTTAGTTGTATTCTAAGTAACAACAGTAACAAGACTAGCACCTGTTTTGAAATACACATCAACCTCTCTGACATGTTTTGACAGCTTTGTATTAATATCCTCTTTGTATCAGTTTACTAAACCACTGTTACCTGACTGGCTGATTCATTGATTAATTCATTGATTCATTGCAGCTCAAGATAAGGTTCTTCCTCACCATCTTACTTTCATGACAACCCAGTAAGATACATCAACATGAAAGATTATGAGTTGTCCAAGATCACTTAGCGAGGATTTGAATCCACATATCTTTATTCATAGTCTGACACAATAAGTCAGGTGTAGGTAACATGCAGGATCTCTGGGTCATATTAGCAGCCTGCATACATTTAATTTTTAAAAAACTGAGTTCAGGTCCTTGCAGCTACTTTCACAGAGGTGGGCTAGTACATATCGATTTCAGTTTTCCTTTATGGTCTGCTGGAGCCACTACAGCTCTACTGCAACACTAGAAGCCCCTCTTCTGTTAAATCCAAGTGCCTAATATATCCTCTACATTCAGTAGGTCTATGTGTGCACATGGAAGGAGAATAAGAATTCCCATTACCGGATGGGTTGGGAATAGAAGAGGGGAATAGAAACTGGTTGGGAATAGAAGAGGGAAGGAAAGGGAAGACTGAATGAGCAATGAGGATGGCAGAGGAATAAAACAGTGGCAGATAAAATTGCCACATTGCAGTTAGCTGGGTTTTACTTGAATTATAGCCATTTCAGCTGCTGCCTATTTAGCTCGCTTGGATTCCCAGTTTTCATTAGAGAGAGACAAAGAGATGCATTTGCACTATATAGTAGTATCAGTTTTATATTCCTTCAATTTTCATGACTTCCTTCTAAGGAATATCTAGTCCGGTGAAATGCTAAAGGTACCAGGGTATGCTTGAGAAGAAAGGAGATGAGGGTGCAGGCATTCAGGGTAATTGTAGTTAGGTAATTCTAACAAAAGCTGCAAATATGAAGATAGAGCCATGACAATGGTAATAGTATGATTGCTCTGTGTTAGAGGTACCTCTGATATCTCTAATATTTGTAGAAGCCAAGATAGGAGGCAAAATGTTCACTTACTATTCTAACAACTTTTTTGCAAAACAACAACAACAACAACAACCCAACCCTGACCTATTATTCTTTCAATGCACTTATCCACTGAGTGAAGTTACAATTATAATTTATATATTCTTGGAGCTCAGATATAAAATGGCAAAATGAACTATTGATTTCTATGCATCCCGTATACATACCACTGTGTTCAGTCATGTTAACTGGCACTCCTGTCTAAGGGTTAAAGTGACAGCACTCATCTGTAAATGTTTCGTATATCCTATTACCCAGCAATTCAACTGCAATATTTCTGAGTAAATATGTATATGATTGCCTTATTAATTTACTTTTTCCAGAGAAGTAATTTCACATCAAAAGTGGGAAGCATTCTGGTCAGTGGTAGTTGTTCATCAGGAGACAACAGGAAAATCTTGAGTGTAGAAAATAGACTCCCAGGTTTGAGCATGTACTTAAATCCAGCGTTGTCACTAAGGTACCATCAATGTTTACACCTTACTTCAAACTAACACATATAGTTCTGCAACTTTTATTCATCCTCTGATAACCTCCTGTTTGGATTATTACAATGTGTTTGACACATGGTAAGCTTTGAAAATAGCTAGGAAACTGCAGTCGATGTGAAATAATGCAGCTATGCTACTCACTGATACTGGCTGACATGATCACCTTATGCCACTACTTTGTCATGTGCATTGGCTTGCCAGTCCGTGTATCTGAACTGAGTTCAAGATACTGGCTTTAATTTAAAACATCTTGGGGTCTGGTTGTCAGAAAGTTCGTCTCTTTTCATATCTACTTGCTCAAGCCCTAAGATTATCATCTGAATGTCTCCCCCATGTGTTGTTGTTGATGCTGTTATGTGCCATCAAGTCAGTTCCAACTTAGGGTGACACAATGAATTAACAATTTCTATTTTTAACAACCCAGATCATATCTTGACTCTTTTTATCAAATAATCTCATGCTAGATCTCATGCTCTTTTCCTTCTGCCTTCTACTTTTCCTAGCAATAATGTCTTTTCCAGTGAGTCTTTTTGCAATTTAGCTGAAGTACAATAGCATCAGCTTAGCTATTTTATCGTCTTGTGAGAGTTCAGACTTTACC